TGTATGTGTATAACAAATATATTTGTTTATTTTGTTTTTTTTTATTTTGTGGTCAACGATTATTTGGTTGTTTGTGTTATTATTTTTATTGTTAGTTGTTTCCTTTATTGAACCGGGCCAGTAAGGGTTTTTCTACCAAGGGCCGGCTGTGGATGAATAATTGACATCCACTTGTTTGTTTATATAATTAGTAATTTTCTTTTTCTTTTGTGCGTGTGTGTATGGTGTGGAGAGTTTGTTTGTTTCTAGGAGCTGCGGCCTTATTGCGTAGGAAATTGACTGTTCCCTTCTCTTCTTTGGTGGTGGTGTTTACACCGTGTGCCGTGACTGATCACTTCACTGGGGCCCGGGTGCTGTGAGCGCGAGTGTGCAGTGCGTGTGAGGGGAACGTGTCTATCTTTTGCCCGGGCATTTCTTGAGAGAGGCCGCAGCTTCTGTTCTTTTAAACATATTTGAATGATTGGGGCTTGTCCTTTTTCATGTGCCTCAGATTTTATTTTGATGAATCATAATACACTTTTGTATTTTTGTATTAAATACCTGTGTCTCCATTCTCCTTGTCTTTAGTAGGGAACCTGTGCGCTGGTCATATTCTCTGGGTGAAATTCCCAGGGTGGCGTAGTCGAATATCAATATATGCAGTGTTTTTGCCCCTTTAGGGTATGATTTATTTTGGCTTTTGAACCCCTTTCCCTCTGTCTGCTCCGTGAGGATGCCACACTGGGATTTTCAAACACATTCTTGATGGTTGGGGAAAAAGCCAGAAGATCATCAGGGATCCAGCGCTCGCCCATCTTTGGGAAGGAGTTATAAACCAAACCCGCATCCAGTCCAGCGACAAAAGCACCTGTAAGGGACCATTGGAGAAAAAAAAAGCACTTTATTATTGTATAGACTTAAACTATCAAATCTGACTAAACAGCCTTAATATGTTCCTCCTGATGTATTGAGTTACAGATTCAAGTTCCAAATTCAATTCAAGTTAAATGCTACTGACAGCATATGACAGCTGTCATAAAATAAAAACTACAGAAATAGCAGATTACTCTGCATGCGAGTAAAAAAGAACGTTAGACTAGTTTTCAATACATGGATTTTACGAAAGGGGATTAGGGCCAAGCAATAATACAAAAAATAAAACCATCTCGAGATCAAAGTCATTATAATGCGAGATTAAACTCGTACATTTTTTTTTTCAAGAAAAATGTCGAAATAAAATGTTGAGTTAAATCATTACATTTCGAGAATAAAGTCGTTGTGTTTCGAGAAAAAAATCCTTAAATTTAGAGAAAAAACTTCTAAATAAAATGTTGAGAATAAACTCATTCAATTTCGAGAATATAATAAAGTCGAAATAAAATGCTGAGAATAAACACGTTCGTTTGATCTCGCTGGACAGTGTTAATCAGCGTCTGTAGTGGCGCAGGTCATGATGCTCGTGGATGAAGCGTATGCGCCTTTTGCCAAACTCGCTCTTCTTCCTTTTTTCATCACTTATCACATCAGAAAAGTAGAAATCAATCGCCTAACGAGTGTTTAATAATGATTTATTAATTGGGTTGGTTTAGGGGTAGGTAGGCTATAGGGAGGGCTTTGCTGTGTACCAATAAGGCAGCGTCTATTTAATAATTTTAATAAAATCATTTACACAGTATGTTATTATTGCATGCTGTTAATGTACAACAATACTGAGGTGGAAATAGTATCTGTCACTATTTATAAGTATAAATAGCATCTAATTACTATTTACACTTATTGCAAAGATCTGCTACTTTTACATATCTTGCATTAGAATGACTTTAATCTTTTTTTTTTTTTTATCATTATTATTATTGCTTGGCCCTAATCCTCTTGCGTAGGATTTAGTAGCTGTTTTAAGTCATTATTTTTACCACATTATTTAATATTTGTTACAAACACAGATAGTTAATTTACATTTAATAAGAAACACTATGTATTTCAATAGCTCCAATCTGTGTCTGTTATCTATCTTTTTTTAACACATTTATTCCCGTACTGCAGAGTCCTGCACGAGCCATGCAAGGAAAAAGAAATAAAATTAAGAAACAACTGACAATCTAATATTAGTTTGTTCTTTTCTTTTAGTTTAAAAATAAGCATGTTAGATTAATTTGTTCCCAGAAAATTATAAATAATAATATGTGCACGTTTCAACTATAACAAATTAATAAAACATGCTCGCAAGTGATAGTTATTACTGCATGTAATATGCAAGGCCCTGTAAATTACACATTTTACATAAAATTGCAGGTTTGCACATTCACTGATTGTATTCAATGTGTTATTTTAGTCAATTTTTAATGCAGGGGTTCTCAACTCTGGCCCTCGAGGTCCAATTTACTGCAGAGTTTAGCTCCAGCCCTAATGAAACACACCTGAAGAAGCTCATTAAGGTCTTCGGGACAGAGATGGTCGTATTATTGGGAGATGCGAGGGTCTGTAGTACTTGCCGTTGGAAAAAGTGTAACGGCTATCTTGGGTCACGTAAGGCACCTCAGCCAATCATACAACAGCCTCTGGTCTCCTTCCCTGCGGACCACCAATGTACACGCCTTTTTGGCTAAAGGTTGCAGGCTTGCTTTCCAGTGGCTTTGTTCAGGGTCACTAGACAGCTACTGGCGGGTGAGTTTGATCAGACTTGGAGCTAAACTCAGCGGGAAAGTGGACCTCGAGGCACAGAGTTGAGAAGCCCTCATTTAATGGCTCGTAGAAAGTGTGGTTGTTTTCTAATTGCTGTGATTATTTCATGTGAGCGACAGGAGGCTGGAGAGGAAGGATTGACACTTGGACAACCTTACTGCCTTGTGCATATGGTTATAAAAGAATCAATTTATAATAAACACTGCACCACACAAGTCACGTCATGTATTTGGCTCATACCTGAGAGAGCCGTGAGGAAGACCAGGCCGCCTGTAACCTTGGCAAACCTCCTTAACTGCAGCAAATTCCTGCTGTCGGGAATCTACAGTGGAGCAGAGACGGCAGTATGATATGTGACGCATCCGAACCTCCTGAAACAGCAGCAGGCAGAGCTGAAATCACAGCTTACCTTGTTGGCAGGCAGCATGAGAGTGAGTCCCGTCCAGAGACTGGAGCAGTACAGCAGCAAAGCGGAGCCCAGATGAGCCGCCAGCCTGTACTGACTGACACGGGGAATGTCGTGTGATTCGGTTTTCTCCTCCAGACCACTCTTCACCATGTACCATCCCAGAAGACCCTGAGCACGTGCATCCATTAACAGATGTTTATTACACAGCACAATCTGAATGGACTGAAACTGATGACAGTATGCACTATGCACCCTTTACAATTTTAAGATGTACTAACTACTACAGCATCATCAACATTTCAATTTAAAAAAAAAAAAAAACATACAAGAGTTAGGTTATATAGAAGTGGTTCTATATGTGACCCTGGACCACAAAACCAGTCATAATTTTCGAAATTGAGATTTATACATCATCTGAAAGCTGAATAAATAAGCTTTCCATTGATGTATGGTTTGTTAGGATAGGACAATATTTGGCTGAGATACAACTATTTGAAAATCTGGAATCTGAGGGTGCAAAAAAATCTAAATATTGAGAAAATCATCTTTAAAGTTGTCCAAATGAAGTTCTGAGCAATGCATATTACTAATCAAAAATTAAGTTTTGATATATTTACAGTAGGAAATTTGCAAAATATCTTCATGGAACATGATCTTTACTTAATATCCTAATGATTTTTGGCATAAAATAAAAATCAATAATTTTGAATAAAATGGTTTTATTTCTATTTCTATTTTTATTTTTAATTGAGCACCAATAATAATTCACAAAAACTGAGCAGCAAATCAGCATATTAGAATGATTTCTGAAGATCATGTGACACTGAAGAGCATGTTGGCCACAATTATTGGCACCCTTGGAAATTCTTATGAGTAAAATATCTCTGAAGTATATTCACATTCATAATTACATTTTTTAGCACACCAGGGTGACTAGGAGCATGAAATTCTCCATCCATGATTTCCTTTTCCACAGGATTATAAATATGAGGAACACAAATACCAAGTTCCCTTAATCATCCATCACAAGGAGTAAAACCAAATAATGTAGTTCTGATGCAGAACAAGACTGTTGAGCTTCACAAAATAGAAAGTGGCTGTAAGAAAAGAGCTAAAGCATTGAAAATTCTCATTGCCACCATCAGGGCAATAATTAAGAAGTTCCAGTCAACTAAAGATGTTACAAATCTGCCTGGAAGAGGACGTGTGTCTATATAGTCCTAATGCACGGTGAGGAGGAGAGTTTGAGTGGCCAAAGACTCTCCAAGGACCACAGCTGGAGAACTGCAAAGACTAGTTGAGTCTTGCGGTCAGAAAGCCTTAAAAAAAATTCAAACAGCCCCTACATCACCACATGTTGTTTCAGGAAAAATCCTCCTCGCTCATTCAGAAACAAACTCCAGCATTTTCAGTTGTCAGACACGACTGGAACTTTGGCAGGACTGGCTTCTATGGTCAAAAAAGAGCTTTTTGGCACCAAACCCACCAGATAGGTATGGTGCAAAGAGGGATAAATAGTAGCCCATGCCCACAGTTAAATATACTGCTGGATCTTTAATGTTGTGGGCTTGGACATCTTGTTCAGATACATGGCATCATGGATTCTATCAAATACCAACAGATAAAAAAAAATCTAAACCTGACTGCCTCTGTTAGGAATCTTATAATGGACCGTGGTTGGATCTTCCATCAGGACAATGATCCAAAACAAACATCAAAATCAGCACAGAAATGTGTCACTGAGCACAAAATGAAGCTTCTGCCATGGCTGTCCCAGTTCCCTGAGCTGAACCCTGTAGAAAATGAGTGAGGTGAACTGAAGAGAAGGAGCTGTGAATCTGAAGGATCTGGAGAGATTCTGTGTGAAGGAATGGTCTCTGATCTCTTGTCAGGTGTCCTCCAAACTCTTCAGGCATTATAGGAGAAAACTCAGAGCTGCTATCTTGGGAAAAGGACGTTGCAATAATTAGGTGCCAACGTGAACTAGAGAAATTTATTTCATAATGAGGTTCCCCCCCACTTTCCATTGTTTTACTTCAATGATAGGTTTGAATTTTGTGATTTTTTTTGAATGAAAGATCAAAAGGATGAACCATGCAGATTTATTTTCACAGCCACCTTTGCTCTTATTTACCAAGGGTGCCAATTTTAGTGGAAGGCACTGTACATTTATTCATTTAGTGCATCCAAATCAACTTACAAACGAGGAATGCGCCAAAGCCAAGCATTTATCCTACAGAGGCAGTACTCGACTAACCAAACTTCCTTGTTTGTTTGTTTGTGTGTGTGTGTGTGTGTGTGTAGAGATGAGATTTCACTGCATGGTGACTGGTTACCTGGAAGACGACAAAGCCACACAGGCCCAGAACACGAGCCTTCATGGAGTGGCTGAAGTAGCCTCTTTTCCAGAAATATACTGTAGGAAGAATGTAAGCTAATCCAACCAGCAGGCCCCACATGTGGTGACCCCACTCCATGTAGAAGATGAACTTAAACTCTGTCAGAGTCATGTCATGTTTCAAGCTGTGAAAAACAGGGCGTAATTTTTTTAATGCAATTTCCATGTAACCAAACACACTAAACGTACTGCAGCTGAAGCATCATACTAGAGCCCGACCAATATATAATTTTGCCAATATTATCGGCCGATATGAGCCTGTCACCGATATATCGGTATCAGCGAATATGCCGCCGATATGAATTTTTTTTTTACAGAACATATAACGCAGATAAAATGCTTGAAATGGTGTAATTACGTAGTTTGTCCAGCAGAGCTTTAAAGCTTAAGTCTATGGAAAACCATTGAAACTTTGAACGGCCATATCTCCGTAACGGCATGGCGAATCCGCACTAAATTCGGGGGATCCCTTCTGCTTGAGGAACCCTCTCGAACGCATCGATAGCCCTCGGGAGTTACGGGTGGTTATAATTCGCAGTCCGGCGCCGACCAATCAAGCGATCCCGGGGGGCTACCGACGCGCGGAGGGTTATGTTCGAGAGGGCTCCTCGAGCTGAAGGGATCCCCCGAAATTTGGTGGAGATCCGCCGGCGCGTTCGCGAGATAGTGACACCGTACTATAATATACACAAAGAATATCGGCCGATATATCAATATCTCCCTAATATCGGTATCGGCCCCAAAAAACCCATATCGGTCGGGCTCTACATCATACCTGTACAGTATCAGTGCAAATAATCAGGTGTACCTTTGGTAAATGTGACACCTGTACTAAGAGGAGAAATATACTCACATTTTGAACTCTGGGAACTGTTTGTACTTGGAGAACTCATCTTCCCACTCCGTCAATCTATGACACACAGCCATCAGTCAGTGAGTGCAAAGTTTGTCCAGACAGCAGTAAGGTCAGAAACATATTTCAAGAACATAACAAGTGTTCTTGCGTTGGACTGGCAGAAACAGGTACTCGGGGGGGCAATAGAGTTCCCATCAAACATCTGCGCTATTAAACCGAATGTGTTTAATAGCTAATGTTATTAGTCATGACAGTTGACTGGCTTTTGATTCTCTTCAAACTGTTGCTCAACACTGTGTTGCATCAGAGGGTTTTTGCTCACAAATGCTTGCTAGAGCTTGAGAGTAAAACAGAACATGATTTCATCGCTTTTTTTAATTAATTGATTAATTACAACATCTATCTATCTATCTGTCTGTCTGTCTGTCTATCTATAAGTCTGTCTGTCTATCTATCTCTCTGTCTATCTATCTATCTGTATGTCTATCTATCTATCTGTCTATCTTTCTGTCTCTGTCTCTGTCTGTCTATCTGTCTGTCTGTCTGTCTATCTATCTATCTGTCTGTCTGTCTGTCTGTCTACCTATCTATCTGTCTGTCTATCTTTCTGTCTGTCTGTCTGTCTGTCTTTCTATCTATCTATCTATCTGTCTGTCTGTCTGTCTGTCTGCCTATCTATCCATCCATCTATCTATCCATCCGTCTGTCTGTCTGTCTGTATGTCTGTCTGTCTGTCTATCTGTCTGTCTATCTATCTATCTGTTTGTCTATCTACCTATCTATCTATCTATCTATCCATATGTCTGTCTGTCTGTCTGTCTGTCTATCTATCTATCTATCTGTTTGTCTATCTACCTATCTATCTATCTATCTATCTATCTATCTATCTATCTCTGTCTGTCTATCTATCTATCTATCTGTCTGTCTGTCTGTCTGTCTGTCTGTCTATGTGTCTTTGTCTGTCTGTCTATCTATCTATCTATCTATCTATCTGTCTGTCGGTCTGTCGGTCTGTCTGTCTGTCTGGTGACCATTTTGAACATATATCTGGTATTAGTATCAGAAATTGATTTGAATATACAATAAATATTACATGTTGTAATATGATATTCAAATATTGTATTGAAATTGTATTGAAATTCAAAGCTTACTGGGCATCATCTTGGAAATGAAGCATCATGTCTTTAAGTCCGTAGCATACGCAGTCAGTGTTATTTCTCTAAATAAGTTATGATGTGTGTATTTTTTTATGTCTTGACTGAGCTACATATATTTCAGTCTCTTCAAGATCACGCAAATTCTATGGCGTTTTACTAACAAATACGTTTCCACGGGAATAAAATGTTATGTATATATGGTGAATTAATTATTCATTTACAGTTTTTCTCAGTCGCTTTGGTGCATTTCTCACATCACTATTTACATTTGCACAACAGTTAGTTCAACCTCCACAACATTTAGTCATTTGTGCACATCATAGTAGCAGTTTCTCATTCCTTCGAACAAATTGCAAATGCTTTTGGACATGCATCAATTGCTTTCATACAACTCTCTGCTGTTTTATAACATTATCATTTGCTTATGTCATGTCAGTCAAAATTAACTATACTTGTGAATGCTGAATAGTCATTCCATATAAAACTAATAGTCCTCATTTCATTGCTTGAGTCATTACATACAAAAATGTTGGCTTTTGCAGGTTATCAACTAGGTTTTGCAGTTTGTACTAATTGTTTTGAGAACTGCATTAACTGTTGTGCAAATGTAAATAGTGATGTGAGAAATGCACCAAAGCGACTGAGAAAAACTGTAACCAAAGTTTAAATCATTGACTGCTTCAAAATGCCGTTAATGAAATCATTGTTGAAACATCTGCAGTTAGCCTACTGTACGAATAAAAACAACAATTACATAAACAGTGAATAACTGTACAAGGTGAATTAAGGTATACAAAGCATAAATCTTCATTCAGATTTCATGAGCACTTTGTCATTTGAAATGCATATGTTGAGGATCTCGTCCGTCTGATGTTCATCTGATGTTTGCTACTGTGATGAATATGAACGTAACTTTTTAATACAGAGGGGAAATTCCCGACATTAAACAAATAACCGCTTACATGCTTAGGACGTTTGTGTTGTAAGAACGCACAGGAATACATCAGATATAGAAACGCTGACTCGATAGGTGATGTTTTCTCACTGAAATCAATTCAATAGAATGTATGGGAACACTAGAGAATATCAATATGGCGGCGCGTTGGCTTCACTTTTATGACCTCATGAGCAATCCAGTTCTCTGTTATAGATCAGTGCATTGCTCCAACAGCCTTTGTATTAGAAACACTGATACAGCAGCGTTAACCAGATTACTGTTATTTAAGGAAACGGTAGCAGGTTATAAATCCTTTTTTTTTTTTTATATATAAAAAATAGATTTACAATGTTAATAACTGTGGTAAAACATCTTCACAGTCTGTGATAAGGGTCCATTATGCTGGTTTAATGAGAAATAAATTATATTAAACTAGCATCAAATGCATTGTTTCCACATATAAGAGTAATTATGGTAATCCTAATGAAACGCTAAACAGAGTGGAATAGCAATACGAGTTCATGAGCACCATACATATTGGTTCAAGTGAGTAGTTTTTTTTATTTATTAGATAGCAGCTTCATTTTAAAGATTTAAAAGTCAATCAATTGAAACCAAAATTAAATGATTGGTTTAAGCCCTGAAATTCCATACGGGTGCATCCCTAATAATAAAAATAATAATAATAAAAATGCTTATAATAGCCAAATGTCAGTATTCAGAAAAGTCAGTGATCTACAGAGTTGCATTATTTTAAAAATATTAACCAAGCAGTTGGAGCATGTTATATGAAGACTTACTTTGCACTTGTCGTTCCCTAAGTGAAGAACAAGCGTAATCATTATACAAAGACAGATTTAAAATAATCATTTGAGGTTTTGGGTGCAGATCCCGAAAGCACACGTCCAACCTCAGCTTCAGGAAACAACGGGTTATCTCCATTACAATCACTAGAGCAAATCGTGACACATCAGGTCACTCACTACAAAAGCTCTACACCAACCACTAGGCTCCTAAACATTAAAAGACTACACACAATCACCGTTAGATTTTTGTCTAGTCATGTTTGCCTTTGTGCAGGTGACTTTATGAGGTATTGATGAACTTGTGTTTTTACCTGGTAAACCCTCCCAGGACCACGGCGCCCAGCACCAGCCCGCTGCAGCCCACCAGCCAGAGGCCCAGCACACGATCGCTCGCCGCGCTGGGGATCGACGCTGTCCCGACGGACACATGTCCACCTTCTGTGGTCACTGTGGTCTGTCCTCTCTTCAGCAGCCACTGTCGCAAAGGGGTTCGCTGTCGACAATAAAGACATATTTCAGTCAATAACTACAGTATATTTGACATCAGTTATTTAAGTATCGAGTACAAGTAAACTCTATAAATAATGGCACCGCTGACTACACTTATTAAATGTTGAGGTGCTGGACCGATGGCTGCATTTACACTGTACATAATCATCACCTAACAGCACACCTGCCACATTTATCCAGCTTTGATATACTGCCATCATCTGGCATGTTTATGTGAATTTATTCTTATTGTTGTGCATACTATCATCTAATGAATTAAGTGGGACACAACCTTTTTTTTCTTCAGGTGACCCTGAATGTAAGGTTGTTGTTGTTCAGTAAAAAAAAAAAAAAATCAACATATCACAATAATTTTTTAAAGATCATGTAAGACTAAAGACTGGAGTAATGGCTGCTCAATGTAAATAACTGTTTAATATATGAACTAATATATTTTATTCAAATTTTGCATATTATTCTTGTAACAGTTTAAATCATTGATCAAATAAATGCATAGCATAGTAATCTTCTTTCACAGAAACCTCACTGTTTTTTTGTTTTTTTCCTATTGTGCAGCACATTGGTCAACCTACGTTGTGCTTAATAGTGCTACATAAATAAAATTGACATTTGTACATTTTGAAGTATTTGTACTTTATGTAAATTTCTGTAAGTATCTTCCTAAAACAACAATATAAATATAATCCAGCAGATAATTGCATCAATTTCATAACTAAAAAGGAGTGTAATGTACAGAATAGTGTCCCCTTTGTTTTATTGGGGGTCGTAGAACGGCTCACGAAGACATTCAACTGTGTGAATTCAGTTATTGCTTTCTCTCACGGACTGTACGCAAACATCTTTTATGTGAAATAGCGTATTCATGGCCACACTAAATATAAATCAAGCTGAAATTTTTAGGATTCCTCATTCAGCATCATATGACCCCTTTAAGTGAATTATAGTGTTTTTTTTATTTATTTTGACTGTATTCATATAATGGGAGGTAGTGGCAAAATTTCACCTGCAATGAGTCAGGCGTCACATTGCGACCTTTATAAATGTGAAAATGTCTGGGATTTTTAACAGATGTGTGTGTGTTTCTGGTGATCTGAATGAATGCACAGACAGAGCGTGTCGCTCCGACAGCGTGAGAACGTTCTCCGGGAGCGCCGATGTTACGAGATTATCGGTTTCAGTGGGCGGAGCAAACATGAATATTAATGAGTTTCCCGGACATGTGCGTGGAACCAAGTGGAACTGAGAATTTCAGTTCAAGCTCCTTGTATCTCAGCAGGTTTAATGGGATATTTTAAAAAAGGGTAAATATATTTACAGCGTTGCACAAACCTATGCCTAAACTACATTTGTTCATCATTTTATAATGTTTGTATTAGTCTGCACGTTTTGTGCAGTCGTCACTGACTGAATGATTGCAGACATTCAGCACACTTAAGCTAGTTGTGACTTACTTTGATTTCAGTTCGTTGTGCTGCAGCTTGCAATGCTTTAAAACTGTAATAGAGAGTACTAGAGTTAGAGGGTCAAATAAAGATGCAAGGGATGCGTTTTTAGCCGATTCTTGAAGATGGCTAAGGACTGGAATTGAGTTGGGCAGATCATTCCAGCAGGAGGGAACAGTTTATGTAAAAAAAAAAAAAAAGCCTAATTAAGAATATATATATATGTTTATGAAACTTTATGACTAGCCTATAAATAATGTTGAATGGGTGTTTGCTGTGCATCAAAAACATATGTCTACAGATAAGTTTCTATAGGTTTATTTCATTTGTTGCAGGCAGTGATGTATTAATTTATTCATATTTATTCATTCATGTTATAACAACTAATAACAGACACAGTTTTAAAGCATCGCAAGCTACAAATGAAGAGCACAAAGAACTGAAATCAATGTAAACAACTAGCTGAGGTTTGCTGTGCTTTATCCTAACATTACACAGAGACTGCCTGCAATCATTCAGTCAGGGACGACTGCACACAACGTGCACTGTAAACTAATAAAAACATTAT